TAAATTGTTCGTCGTTCGTGCGACCGGCTTGTGGTCGTTGTAAACCGTGATAAAACGAAAGAAGGCGAGCAAAAGTTTCGGAAAGAGCGAACGTAACATACACATACTGGACGCGAGTTGCAGGTATTTACGAGCAAGTGGAGAGCACGAGCTTGCCAGAAGTCGGCAGGTGCTCGTGGCAAAAGGTGGCGTCCCGAGACAGCCTTGAGAGAGCGTGCACACGGGTCGTTGCTTTCGGCGAACGATGAGAAACAAAATTAGTCGCCTTTGCCGAACGAGAGCTCGCCTCGTAGCATTGCCCTCTGCGAGAAAGTCAGCCGCTTTTGTGAAAATCTTTCTTCTTTCTCTTGTTCTTCTTGTTCTTCTCGCTCGCTCGCCCGCTGGTTAATTTGCCGAATGACTGGCAACAGTGTTGGCCACCAGTTTCCGGAAATTTTCAGACCTGCTCCGTGCCACTTTTGTCTGCTACGTTCCGATGAGGGTTTCGTCGATAAGTAGAATTTCAATGTCTCGATTAGCAACGGTGTGTCTAGGTTCTATGCAAAATTTTGCTATATTTAAATACGATGCAGACATTCTTGGAAATATATACGTACGAAAAACACTTGCTAACTAAAAAAACCTCGCTGGCTCGTGTTTTGCTGATCGATATTGTTGAATCGTATTAATTCAGCCAAAGAAATGTACACTTTTTTTTTAATGCTCCTCTCTACACACATTCCCTATTAAGCTTACTGTATACTTACTTGCAGTAGTTTCATTTAATTTACAGCTTGCTATCGTACGGTAACAATCAAAACGCTACGCTGGCTCTGTCCAATAAAAGATTCTATTTTCTTGCAACGTTTCTTTATACCTTATCGTGCTCTCTTAATACCACACATGCATTCATAAGGCGTGTATGATTCAAAATTATTACCTTGTACTGTCAATGAAGCAAATCGAAGAGTTTGAAACCACAAGAAAGTAAAGAGAATTTTTATGTTTCCCAACAGACCTACCAATCATTCCGTTCTCTTTTCTTTCTTTCTTCTTTTTTCGTTTTGAGATCTTCGCTAAATATATTTTATAACGGTGCGTTAAAAAAAAAAAAAAATGGTCGAATTTTCCTCCGAGAGCCTCCGTAAACATTAATATTTTACATTCGGTATCTTAAATAGCCGAACGGTGGTAGTAAAAGTTTCTGATATTGCGGAATTATTGTGGAGTGTCGTCGGCCGTTCCCAACAAGACGGAGAACACGATCTCGATCGTGTGTGTCGGCCCGCCTAAAAATCGAGCAATAGGCTAGTCTGGAGAGAGAGGACGAAGGGTCGTCAGCAGAGAACAATGGAACACGGTTGCACCTCGGTTCAAGGTCTGACGGGGTGCATTTAGAAAATCAGTTTAGACCGAATTCATCGTTTCGTAGCAAATAGACGATTTCAACTGGGATGTCTCGCGATTTGCCGATATTCGGAGAGATCTGCGCGTTTTGGCGGGTATCGACGTCAACTTTTGATAATTAGTAGAAAGGAGAGGGGCAGCTTCTTGCATCGGTTGTTTTTATATTGCGCGCAAACTGGTTCCTTTTAAAAATTTTATCGCAGCGCACCTCTGAAGAAGGAGAATCATCTCGGTTCTTTAACGAACGTGTGCTCCCCAACACGCGCAATGACTTCGTTTTTTTTTTTGCACGGTACGTGAGAATGGAATTTTGATTGATTTTTCTTCGAAAATTAAATTTTGCGGGCATTTCCCGCGTTTTCTTCTTTTCTTCTTCTCGGCTTTCATGTTTTTTGGTTTTCACTTTATGCTAATTATAAACTGCAACTGCAACTGGGAAAAAATTGCAAGGTTGATCGAGAATCTCGGCACGAAATACAAATTCCTGCGCCTAGGGAATTATTAGCGTCGGAGTTCAAGGACGATAGACTGGCGGAACTTCACCTAACTTAACTGATTCAGAGCTAAGATATTCTTGATACATCGATTACGGAAAACTTAACCATTTTACCATCGTGTAATAATGTAGCACTGAACGTTCATGTTAACGCAGATTCTTGCAGGAACTCGTTTCGCAGTGCTACGTGGGATATCGTAACAAAAACTCGATTTTTCTTCTTTCATCGATGATACTGCACAAGTATCGTTGTGAGCTTCATTACATTTAATCTGGCAAAAAAGGAAACGTTGCGTCTTAGCTGAATCGTGATCGAAATCTCTTAATTTATTAGAAAGTCAAGTCAATGCTTTTATTTTAGAAAGGATGCTCAATAGTGTATAATCGGTGTACAAGTACATAATTATCATATGTACGTAACTAGTAACAAAGTTGTGAAATAGAGTAATTAAGTTGTACAAAATTCACGAATGATCTCACTCTCCCCGTACCAGGGAGTAACCGTGATTTCCTTTGAACAACTCTTGACGTCGCATTTAATTTACGACGTGATAGGAGTCCCAAACGATCCAACTGTGGTTTACGACTCGAATGATACCTTACTATTATTTCTCGAGAGTCGTAAATTTCTTTCCTGTTGCATTTTCTTCTGCCGATCTGCCGTGGTGATTGCATGTAGAATCGCAGAAAAGAGTACCGACGAATGCATTTTCTAGGCACCCTATATGCAGACACAGAGGTCGTTGACGGGACTGTGGACAGCGAGATTTATCGCGAACGATGCGACGAATACTCGGGAAATGCAGTATTTTCCACGTTTGAAAACGAATCGTATCGAAAAAGAGACATTGGAAACAAAATAAAAAGACTTTTCTAAAATAAAATAATCTATATTCCAACTGGAGGAAAGGAAACGTTTCACACGAACGGTAGATATTTAAGGATAAACCTTTGGTCAAATCGGGAAGAATTTGCCGTTAATTAATATTGCGATCAAACGAAGCCGGAGATAGAGACGTTGACGGTGAATAATTAAATTAACCGAAACGACATCGATAGAATGAAAATGCATCCCTTGATCATGCCGTCGCGTCTCGCGTTATCGCAAAGAGATGGAGCTACGATCCCAGGCAGCCCCGGGCTGGCAAACACCGGCGTTGAGAAAACCCGGTGGTGGAGCCGGTGAGCCGGTGCTCTAGCGGGGATCTTGACGAAGAGGCGAGAGAGCACGGGCGGTAACACGGAGGGGGTTGCAAGTTGCAAGCCGGTAGGGACGAATACACGCGCCCGTATCCGGAGGCGAACGAAGTGCGGCGCTCTCGGCCGGTAGGTGCGCTCGTACTTTGTGCGCCGGTTAGCCGAGCAGTGGTGGGGAGGGGTGGTACGGTGCCACGTGACCGTACCGACCAATCAGTGGCATGCATAGCCGGCGTCCGGCACATGGCGGCGCGCCGGCTTTAGCACCCGCAGTCGCAGTACGTCGCAGTCAGTCGCAGTGGTAACACGAGCGAGAGGGTAGTTGCACGCGCCTGCCTTCGAAAGGAAAGACCGCGGTGAGGGGGAGAGAGAGAGAAAGAGAGAGAGAGCGAGCGAGCGAGCAAGAACGCAAGCGAGCGCGCGAGATAAAGAGAGAAAGAAGGAACGAAAGAGAGAGCGCGGCGCCCCTTGCCTCCGTTTTCAGTGCTTCAGTCGCGCGACGACGCTCTCGGACGCTTTAGTCAGTCGGTCGGTGACGAAGCTCCCAAACGTGATACACGCGCCGTTACGTTACGTTACGTTACGCCGTTCCGTCGAAGGGGAGAACGAGAGCGAACGAAACGAAAAGGGAGAAACACCGAGGAGGAGACGAACGAACGAAATAATAATTGTATCGGTGAAAACAGATACGCGAGCAAAAAAGAAGGAAAAAAGGAGAAACACGAACATTGCGAGCGACGACTTCTGACGGTTGCGAGTCGTCCTCTTGAATACACGAATTCCCATACGATCGCGCCAGTTCCAACCAGAGTGCGAGTAATATCGAGAAGGCCATTTTCGTATCACGGCTTCTACACGCGGTGAAAGAAAGCGCGCGAGTGAGAGAGACTGAACGACGAGGAAAGAACGTGTGTGTGTGTGAGATTGTGGACACGAGAGATTACGACGACTAGACTAGTAGGCCCACACGTTTCCAGTGTACGAGCACGACACTTACGCCCGTGTGTTGCTCACGTCGTACACACGCGTCGTACGGAGAGGAAGACCCGGACGAGAAAAGGAAGAAGACAGAGAAACGATCACCAACGAAGCGACGATTTTATTTTTGTACGGTGCATCGTTGTTTTTCCTACGTACATTACACGAGAAGAGAGTAGATCGCTCAATTTCTGCTTGGTATAGCAGCGGCACTCTAGTCCTCGTCCTAGAAATAATCCAGTGTGTGTGTGTGTGTATGGTGTGCACGCGCGCGCACGTGTGTGTTTCGTTGTTTCCCGATCGTTTCGAGTTCAGACTTTGTCTGCGAGATACACACGTCTCCGTTCGACACGGTTCGACCGTTAACTGACAACGACGTTTCGATCTCAGAGTGAGGTAAACGAGCAGAAGGAAAGACAAAGGGCTGTGAAGAAAGACGCGAGACCATCGTTATCGAAGAGGGAAGTGGAAAAAAAAAATCGGTGAATAAAGAAACTGTGATTTATTACTATCTGTGCGAACGTACAATTCGACGTACGATTCGACTTCACCGGTGCGACACAACGCGATCTTCTTAAGTCGAGCGATATGCCGACGAGTTTGTTCAGCGAAATGGATCGGGGAGCGAATGGCGGTGGCACCGCTTCCCTCGAAGACCAACGAGCCCTGCAATTGGCGTTAGAATTATCTATGCTTGGTCTCGAGGGTACTCCCGGATGCCCGGGCACTGGCACAGGAACCGGCACCGGAACGGCCAACGATCCGGATCCTTTGCAAACGACACCGGCAGGCGTTTTCGAGGAGGCACGTTCGAAGAAGAGCCAGAACATGACGGAGTGCGTGCCGGTGCCTAGCAGCGAGCACGTGGCAGAGATCGTCGGCCGACAAGGTAAGAGCACGAACATAACCTCCATTTCTCGCGAAATTTCGCCAGACTTTCTTCTCTTTCGTTCGTCGAGACATTTTCAAAGTAATCGCGTATTGAACGCTTAAATTAAACGCGTTCCCGACGAGAAACGTTGATAACGGTTTATCGATCAACGATCAATTTTACAATCGAACATCAAACGCAGAGAGATGCTGCTACGTGTTTCGACGAGTCGTGATTATACACCGAGAGCTTGGCGCAAGGTCCTTGGAGTCGTTCGAATCGCGTACAACCGAGCGTCAACAATGACGCTCGTTGTACTTCTTAATATATCGGTATAAATAGAAATTCCGCATATACGTTGAAAACCTTTCTTATAATCGATACACAGTTCGATTCACCGTGTCTGAAATATTTTTTCCAATTCAATAAATATCGAAACGTTCGTCGGCAATGTCGGTGTGTTACGTTCTAGTCGCACTCCGTTTTCCTACTCCGTTTACGTAAGCTGAATTCACATGGTACGTTGCTTTGCAACGTTCCTCGTTGCCGGAATCTGTCGCGTACAGCACCACTGACAGTTCATTGGCACGAGCGTGTGAGTGTGGCGCGAGAAACGCGGTATCAAGTAATGGTGCAATTAAACCAATCTAACTTCGAAAAGCAAATTTATTTTGAAGCCCGATGGAACGTCGTGCAGTGAACCCTGTCGTAGGTCGTGGTCGTTCGTCGACTACCTTCCGTGATCAGCTTAGTTACGATCTTCTACGTTCCATACGTATCAAAAAAAAAAAAAAAAAAAAAAAGAACAAGTAGATGAAAGATGGGAGAAAGAAGAGGAACAAAAAGATGCATATAAAAATATGCTTAATTTACAATCTGTTTGCTGCATTGGCTATAAAACCTCGTAAAAAAAACGATTATTTACACCTCACGGTTGATTGAGACTGATGACATTTTCATAGTTTTCGCATGCAAACGTTTCGTGAAACAGAAAAAATCGAGCGCGTCGTTCTTTTATCTGTGCCGCAACCGTGTTCTTTTCTTTTTTTTCTTCTTCTTCTTTTACACTTAAGTTTCCGAGAAAGGTGTCAAGAATAGCGACGTCATACTTTGTCAGAGAACGACACTGCGACATCTAGAAATTCGCATGGCGCGCGTTAATGGATATATATCGTGGCAGATAAAAAGTATTCCATTGCTCGAGGAGCATTACTCTATCGCTGATGAATTTGTTTGATCGCGTGTATGTTCGATCTATTGGTGGATCGTATCGTACCCGTTTCTTTAAATGATAATTATATTGTTACCTAGTATTCGCAATTCGACAATATTTACAATGGTTGAGAGCCAAGTTACTTGCCAGAGGACACACCGTGTCGACGACCGTTAAAACCTAGAGAATTTCAAACAGAACGTTAGGGTGGAAGGTTTACGAGCACCTTCCTTCCTCCGAAATGTCAAAGCACCGTCGTTACAAATAAAAATAACAGACACGTACGTGACACAGACGCTAGACACCTACTTCCGACCTTTTTATACCACGGCGGTAGTATAAGTCGTGGTCAATAACTTGGCCGTCTTTCGTTTCGTCCATTCTCAACAAACGGCAAATGTGAAATGACAATTTCTTTGCTTTTTGTCAATGCTGGTTTCGTCGAGCCACGCAAGGAGTAGAAGATCCTCCCGACTCGTGGAGGACTCGTCGTGGCCAACGGACACAGGCACAGGCACAGGCACAGACAACGTGACAAGATAATCTTTCCATTGAGTATTGAACAGTTGCTTTTATCGTGTGCTATCAGTACAGACGACGTACAGCGCGCATTGGTTTTCCGCGTTTCAAAATTCAGGAGAAAACCTGGAACGCCGCTGCGCGGCGCCACGTGGCCTGCCATTTAAATCTTAACGTCTGTCATAGATCGCGCACGCGCGATAAATAATCGCGTGACTCTGATCGCAGTCCCATCCAATATCCAAGCCCCTGGCCTATTCTTTATCCACGCTCGTGAGATTCATGCTTTTACCGATTAATCTCCGAGATGAGGAACGGCGCGCTTCTAACATTTGCATCTTTGCAATCGATACATCTCGATACATCTCGATTTTTGCACGCAGGGAAAAAGAAAGGAAATACTTTTTATTCTTTTATCTCTCTCTCTCTCTCTCGCGCGCGCGCGTTTGATGTTGTCCGTACGGCAAACACGATAAAATAGAAGACGGGCGTGTAAATAGACGCGGAAGGTGCGCGCCTATCGATTGCACGTGCGGTAGATCGATCATTTGCAGCTCGTTCTCGATCTTCCTCGTGGCATCTGTCGTCACGTACGTATGAACGCCGTTCCCGCAATTTGCCTGGCGCGTTACACTTTTGCAAATTCAAAATTGGTCGCTTGCCAGCTCCGCGGTTGACGTATTATACATACACACGCATCCGCTGAACGGATTCGAGTCTCGATGATGGTGCAATTACAAATTCGTCTTTCGTTTCTGCTCTTTCGAAACCAGATATTCCCCGGCGCAATAATAATATGCGTCCGATAACTTTATTAACGTGTTGCAGCGATTATCCAGCGTCGATTACGGCGATTTACAATGATCGATAAGTCGAACGTGATGGCGTGCACCTACCACCTGGTTGTTGTTTTTTTTTTCTTCCAGCCGAGTTCAATGTCTCGCGTGATCTTTTTATTACACACCGGCGTTATTTTGCTGTGGTGCTCGCGAGAGGTGCGCTCCTCCTCGGAGCGTCCCTCCTCCCCTGATATCTGGTCGATAAGGTTTTATTATATCTGAATATAACGTAGCTGGCAACGGCAGCGTCGTTCCAACGACGCCTAAAGCATTCATCGATAGGTGGGAAAATACGGATGGCGTGTAAAAGGAAGCCGTATGGTGCTCGTCGGGGTCATCACGCGAGGCGCGCTAATATTGACCGTCCAATAACATTAGACTCGGACATTTAAAACGGTGTCAAGACTGTTTCGTGTTTTAAATTCAGTACTCGCTGCGGATTTCCGTACGTGGTGCTTATCGTGTCTTCCGTTCGGCCGAGCCGTTCCTCGCCGATCCTCCTCTCGCCGCGTTGCTGATCTTTCGACTGAGAACCGCTGGCGTGTCGTGCGACCGAAACGCGCGCGAGTAGAGTAACTGCTTACTCGACGATGCTTCTGCGTGGCGTGCACAGTGCGTACTCGCCCAACGATTACACCGTACGTGTCCGTTCAGATCTATTTCCATTTATTATATATCGCGAGCTTGCTATTAGTCTCGTTGGTACATATTTTTTTTTTTTTTTTTTTTTTAAATTAGTCAACGCCTGCTATAGAAGCATCGATTAGAAGCAAGGCTACGTCCATAATATGTAACGCGCGCAGTCGTTTATCCAGAAATTTATACTGCAAGATACTACTACTGCTTGCTAGCGGAGAAAATTATCTGATGCGATGAAAAAGCGAGATTGTACACCATGTACAAAACGCGAATCTCACATTCCGTTCGTTGACGTTTCCGATCATTTCCTTCGGACAGACACGTCTCACAGCGAATTATGATTTTCCTTTCTTACGTAAAATCCGCTTCCTACTTTCCCGGTCACTGCGCCCTTTTTTTTCCGCGAGCGGTGACGGATCTACATACGTCCGCGAAACTCTCTAGCAATTGCCATTGTCTCTCTCGTAGATCGGGTCTTTTTCTTTTTCTTTTTCTTTCTCTTTCTCTTTCTCTTTTTTCCCCGAGGCGAGTGCAGCCCGCCTCGGAACCAGTTTAACATACCTGGCATGAATCATTGCCATAGTGCGACCGGGTTCCCGGCGCACTCTCGTACGCCTAAATCTGTGGACGCGGGGCAGAGCGTGGCTCGTAGGCGCGACGGTACACGCACGCTGATTCCCCGGTGTACGGCTTATGCACGCGCGTCGCTCGCATCAGCGTTTGCACGGCTGACGATCGCCAGCGTCGTCCGTCTGAGCCGATCGTTCGGTTTTAGCCGGCAAGAATCGGATCTTTCTGCGGAACGTAATCGTGTCGATTCAATAACGACGTCTAATGAGTTTGATACGCCGTTCCATTATGAGGATGTGGCTATTTGTTGAGCATTTTCGCTCGATTCACGCTCCTTTTCTCTCTTCTTCCCCAGCGTCCGTCCGTCCGTCCGTCTTACTCGCGCTCGCTCGCGCTCTCCGGTCTGTTTCGCCGCCGCTGCTGCTGCTGCTGCTGATTCTCTTCTCCCCCTACTGTCGCTCCGCGGTCTCTGCCTCTCCTCGTCTTCCTCGCTCCCTCGGGCTCACGCTCTCTTTTTCTGGCTCGCTCTCCTGGACCGGAAGTTGTAATGAGCGACTCCGTCGCCAGACTCGTCGCCTCGTGTCGCATCGCGGCGAACGATGACGTTACTTTGGAAACATCACGGCTGGTTATCCAGGTCGTTAGCTGCAGCGTCGCGAACTCTGGCGCGTTGCTCGTCGCCGCGCATCGGCAAGGAAGAAGAAGAAGAAGAAGAAGAAGA